GCCTGGGAAAACAGGAGCTCTCTCTTAAACAACCTGTATAATTAGCATCTCACTGCTGCACCAAAAGCCAATTCTACACCTTTTGTAATAAAACAGAGAAAGGGAAACACAAAGTGAGTAATACTTTAAAAGTAAGAGTGATCCCAGTTTTAATGCAATGGATTTATAGGGACTGGGAGGAGGAGGCTTGACCAATAAAGTGCTGGGCATCCAAGCAAAGGGCCGAGTGCAATCCTCAGATCCCAAGCAATAAAGAGCTGGGTGTGGTGTGTTGGTGCATGGAAAATCTCCCAACACTTGGGACATGGAGACAAGTGGATCCCCGAAGCCATTGCCCAGCTAGCCTAGCAAGCTCCTAGCCAGAGACTGTCTTAAAAAAAAAAAGAAAAGAAAAGAAAAGAAAAGCAAACTAAGGTGGATGGGCCTGAGGAATGACACCTGAATTTACACACACACACACACACACACACACACACACACGCACGCACGCACACGCGGCAAAACAACAGTTTCTGTACTATAGCCTTAAAAGCTCACTGTTTAAAGGAGACCTCAGACAGCAGAGTCAACAAGAGAGCATAGATGCCATCTCTTTTGTTTGTTTTCAATTATCCTACAAAGCATCATGTTTCATAATGGCATATTTTAAACAAAATTTTTCTTCCCTCCACCTCCTCTCCCATCCACCCTCCCTGCCTTGTGTCCTCTCACCCCCCCCCCATTACCCCTCTGCTACTTTATAATAACATACCCGCTGTCCCCTTTCAAGCCCGGCCTCATGTGGACTCAGACTCAATGATTGGCTCTTCCACAAATTTAAGACTGAAAAATTGAAAGTGAGTAATGTAGCTCATTGGTAGAGTTCTAGTCATGAGGCTCTGGGTTGGATCCCCAGAACTATGAAAAGAAGGAAGGGAGAAGGGAGGGAAGACTGGAGGGAAGTTGGTTGGGAAAGAGAGCGGTGAATGGGGAGGTGCAGGTTAAGATTTCATATTGAGTCTCCAGTTTTTAAATAAGGACTCAGCAGACAGGTAGTGAAGGTTACTGAGGGGGGTCTATGGGGAAATGCCCCCCTGGGAGTGAGCTGGAAACAGGAGAGAGACACACTGTTTGAAAAGTGTTACGCGATGTAGCCCCTGCTGGGACCTTCCCAGGCACTTGTAGCTGGACTCTCTGAAAACCTGGCCCCAAGAGTGGAGGGGACAATTATCTGGCTTCTTCCTTCCTTTGATGCCACAATGTGTTTTGCCCCTGCACATGACACGTGTGTGAGGGTCCTGCTGGCACAGGAAGTCAGAGGATGTAGTGGGTGTCATCAGCATAGACCTGCCTCCAGCTTGCTAAAGCAGTAACTGGAACTAGAGTTGAAGGGAACAGAGTGGCACACAGGCATCCACAGGTTGACCCCTCCCAAAAGAAGTCAGGTATCCCAACTTAGACTTCAAGCATGACCCCATGATGACTTTGACTAATGAAAGGTGAGCAAAAGGACCCTAAAGTTCATATCCAATCAGAAGCATCAACAGCCAGAGCTCAGGTCACCTTTCCCCCTTGCAAGGCATCCAGAGAGTGACTTTGTGTGGATTGGAGTCATAGCCAAGAACATGCTGAGGGAGGGTGCCCACTATTAACATCTGAAAGATGTTTGTTGTTGCCACTAGTTCCAGCCCAGGCTGGCAGATGAAACAACCAAATCTACACAGAATTCCAAAATGACCACACCCAGTGGGTAGAGGTGAGCCTGAGGCCATCACCATGAGAACTTCACATAAATGAGCAAAAGTCCTGTTTTAACAGGTGAACTGTCTCTTGAAGGTCACATGCAAGCTGCAGGCTCCTTGATAGCACAATCATATTACCTTTGTGCCGACCATCTGGAAACTTGGAGACCTAGGGAGCTGGGTCCAAGGACCAAGTCCCCCCCTGCTGAGACTTATATGACAGGGAGAGATGAGTTTGTGGAGCAGGAAGTATAGGCCTGCCTGCCTTCTTCCTCAGGTGTTCTGAGGGATTGCTAGAGTCAAGATTCAGAAAGAAGGCCTTGCGCTAAGGGCCAGGTTTCCTGAACTCACTTTGCCCCTCAGATTGGTGATTCATTCATATGTTCCATGTTCACTGCAGTATGAGCCTATTCACCTCTTCTGAGTTTAGCAGTGTTTCCCACTTAGCTCTGCAGGTTTAATGCTGTCACATGCCAAGTGAGGAAAGACAAGCAAGGCAAGTGCTTGGAGCTCTGTCTCCACCATAGACCCTTTTGTTTAGAATAACTCTACACAGCAGGCATATAATGTGAGCCACAAACACAACTTTCTAGTAACTACATTTTGGATTCATTAATATTTCATTTACTTTTTGTGTGTTTTGTTTTTGGTTTGGTTTTTAGAAACAAGATTTTAACCTCTGTTGGCTGGGAACTCACTTTATATATTGTATCAGGCATTGATCTGCCTGCTTGTCACATAAGTACAGTGGTTATATGCAAGTATGACTATACCCAGGCTAGCAACTGTATTTTAAAAGGTAAGAAGAGGTAAAATTGTGTGTTCTGGGGGCAGAGGGAGGGCTTATGGTATAAGGTGTATGCAGTTCTGAGTCCAGAGTCTATGCATGCTAGCTAGGCATTTTCTCTACCACCAATCTACTTTACCAGGCCAATTAATTTTAATAACATACTTTACTTAATCTAGTATATGCAAAACAGTACCACTTGGACATGTGGTCAGCCATTTAGAGTCCAGCTCCCAGCTTTCCTTTCGGCACTAGTCTTTGAAGCCACTTAAGTGTTTTTCATTTAGCTCATCTCCAGATTTTGGAGGACTGCATCTCAGTTGGCCAATACCACCTGAGGCTAGTGATCACTCTATCATAGAAAGCAACCCTAAAATGCACTTCCCCTTTGAGGTTATTTATTTATTTGCTTATTTATTTAACTTCTATCTCAACTAAAATGTCACCTTCTCACAAACCCATCCTCTGCCTGTGCTTCTAAAGCCAAAGTCTCCTAGCCCCTATCACATCACCCAATCTACTGGGTTCCAGAGCTTCTGTCACTCAGGGTCCTACTCTGGATGGCTGAAATTACAAGTGGCTCTTTTTTGGCTTCAGAGCAAGACAGATCCACTCTCCTGGGTCTCTGAGAAGAAATCCTTTCTTGCCTCTTGCTGTTGTTGGCCTCTCTCAGCTGGTGGCTGTCTCCTTTGGGTTCCAACCTATGTCTTCCATCTTTTTACAAGGGTACTCACCATACTGATAAGGTCCTTCCCTCCTCAAACATGACACAAAAATGACAGCAGCAGTGTACCATAACAGATCCGATCATCTGTAGTCATGCTTCCAAACAAGCTTCCTTTCTGTTGTTCCAGGAGGCTCTGGGTTGGGTAAGGCTCTATACACACCATCCTTGGCCCTAGCCTTGTCTCACTTGTTTCCTGATTTGGTTGCCACCCCAATGAAACGCAAGACCATTCAAGCCAGACTCTGGGTACCCTCACTACTCCATGCCCAGCACTTGGCACAGAGAAGGCTTTCTGCAACTGCTAGTTGCAAAGAAAGAAGCAAAGGGGGGCAAAGAGTAGGAAAAGAGTGAAAGAATGACAGAGAAGAAACAGACTCACCCATCTCTAAAATGGTTCATGAGAGCCAGGACAAGCCTAAGCTAAGTGGGGGAGGCATTGGGAGAACCCAGATCCATTATTCCTACTGGGTAGTAGACTTTCTAGATTCTTCCAGAAGCTCAATGATCAGCCCTGCTACAACTTTGTGACCAACTGGGTAACCACCCTGCAAAAGGGCATGACTATCCCTTGGACTTCTAGAAAGCAGCATTCAACCTATGGGACCTCAGCTTTATCCTATACTGGGGTGAACAGCTCCAGCAAAGCAGAGAGGGCCAGGGAGGGAAGTTGGGAAGATGTTCTTAGCCTTCCTGCATCTGCCCTCCTTCCCTACGGCTTCTTTTCATGAAGAAGACTGTCTACTAACAGGATCTGATCCATTTTCATGGACACCAAGAATGGCTACCAACCCTACTATCTAGAGGTCCCTGAGAAAAGCCAATGAGCTTGGGACTGAACTACAAAGAGCTCCAGAAGACTGCCCTCAGAATGGAGTGTGGTAGGGGCTGTGTATATGGTCTTGTGGCAATAGGCTTGCCTAGCTAGGAATGAAGGTGAAGAGCAGGAAATGAAAGAGAAAGAGAAAAGGGGGAAAGGAGAGGGAAAAGAAAAGGAAAGGAAGGGGAAGAAAATGTAGAGGAGAAGAGAGAAGAGGAGAGGAGAGAAGAGGAGAGGAGAGGAGAGGAGAAATGGAGGGGGGAGAAAAGGGAAGGGGAAGGGAAGGAAGGTGGAAGGGCCTGAAGGATCGATCTTACATATTTGAGCTTTCCCATTTGTCAAACAAACCTTGAGATCTAAATATTTTAGTGGTCTTAAAGTATAATTCAGACAATCCAATCAATGGGGAAGTCACTATTAAGATTAATCACAAAAGTAGAGGTACAAAACCATTTTCGTGTGTCATGAAGATTCTGAAAGTTCCAGCAGTGTGGGTATGAATGAGGAAAAGCACATGTGGTAAAATCTACATTGTTCAGACACCCAACATTAGGCCTAAAATTATAGACCTCCTCTCCCCTCCCACAACTGGGACCCTAGAAGGGACTATGCAGTCTGGATACCAGTTCAATTTTTGATCTAGGACTTGGTGAACAGTGAAGAGCTTGAGGGATAGACATCTGGGGTCCCTGTGGCTCTTTCCTTCAACCCATCCAGGGTCTTCCCAGATCCCTGCCCCATGCCTCAAAGACTCTAACCCTCTGGTTCCAGAGGGAATACTTAAAAATATCAGTTCAGGCTTTTCCAAGTACCCAGAGCCTCAGTGTTCCAGTTTTTTAAGGACTGGTCATCTTCCTAACTTTTTGTACAGATTAGAAAAATAGCTTCCCTGTTTTGCCAAAACCAGGACACACAGCTGAGGGGTGAGGGTGGGGGTGTGAGAAGTACCTTCTTATCCTCTTGAAAGTGTGTTCAGTAAACATCCTACACAACCACGTGTGGCCTCTGGACAGTCTCTGCCCGGTGAGGGAAGGTGAGAATTAGATGCAGTGCTGCCTGGAAACCTGTAATGAGATTATTTGATAATAATAGTTCAGAGTGTTAAGTTTTACCTTAAACTTTTCACATTCGTGTTAACAGAGCAACTTCCCCAAACCCTAAGCCAGGACAGCCCTTGAGACCCTGGACATCATTTTAGGATGGAGGGAGAAACATTCCCTTTTCATGCTCGCACACCCTCAGCGGTTGTACTTGAACCCCAAAGAGGAAGGGACAAGTCTCGGGAGTAAGGTTTGCTGTGTTTCCTTTCTGCCAACAGCTACTTTCTAGTTTGCAGAAGTGGTGGAAGGATCACATATGTATCCAAAATCATGCATTTGAGTTCTGAAAAGAACTTGATTTAAGGAAAAATCTTCAGTCCCTAACAGTAGAAGCGCTAGCAGGATGCTTGAAGGTTGAGAAACCTGACCCTAGACAATGGCCTCCTTTCCACAATGCATTTCAGCCAGCCATGGAACCCCGGTTAGGGACATCCCTAGTAGGAAGTAGGGAAGGCAGAAAAATGTCCTGAGGTGGGCTATGGGGCCCTGAACTCCCAGGGCGCATAAATCTCCTGCCTTCCCCCAGCCCCAACCAGAGTCTGACCTGCCCTGGGACCCTTCACCTGAGGTTGGCTGGCCTCGGGGAGGGGGCTGCCTCTGTTAGATGACTGGGAACCAGCTCTGAGCCCATGTCTAGAAAAAAAGTGGATCTCCGATAGCCAACTGAGTCAACCTGTCAGGGTCAAGTGATGCCCGCGCCCCCCCCCCGGGATGAAGGAGATGCGTGTAGTGTAGGGCACATGGTGCAGCTATGTTTCATCCTAAAAGGCCATTCTTGTCGCAAACAACGAGTAGTCGTTAGAGAACAGAGCCAAGCTCTCTTTCTCAGGACTCTGATCACCGGGAAAGAGTTCCGAGGCCCGTGGACCTGGGGCGCTACAGCCAGGCTGTTTTCCCTTCACCAGCCTTTAACCCGGGCAGAGACGCCTTTGTGGAAGCCAGAGCAAGTGGAGGGTGGGCAAGGCACTCTGAAAGGTCACTTCCTCGCTCCCCCTTCCGTGGGTAACTAGGGCCACAAGGCCCCGGGCCCACTATCGGGCTCCCGTGGGTCCACACCAATCTTGCCCATTCTGCACCGCAGAGGGAACCGCATCATTTCCATGCAACAATGCAAACACACTCATTACCATATTCTCAATATGCATGAAGAAAATGTGCGACGTTGGCCGAGCCCCATCGCCCTGCTCTGGCCTCCGCATCCAATAAGGCGACATATTCATCTCCCAAGATGGATGAGAAAGGGATGCCTGGGAAGCAGATCCACGGGCGGGGGAGGGGACAGACTCTGTAAAGGAAAGGAAGACAGAGTAAACCAGCAGAAGAGAGCTTGGGATAGACCAAGATTGAAATAGGATGGATGGGGACGAAAGAAAGAGAGGGAGAAAAAGAAGAGGAAACCGAGAAAGGGAGAGGGGAGAAGATGAAAACAGGGGGTTGAAAAAAACCTGAAATTTTAAAAAGACCCCACACACACACCAAAGAACACATTAGGAGTCAAAAAAGAGAAAAATAAAGGCTCCGGAAACCAAATATGCAGAAAATGTGAGGAATAGATAGGACTGAAACAAACAAGGCGTTCAGCGGAAATACTCGTCGCAGGTGGAAACGGGGTGATGCTGCATAAGAAAAGAGAAATAGAACCACTCGCGCTCAGGGCCACGGTTTTCCATCCATGCTGGGATTCCGGGAGCCGCAGCGCAGATCTGGCCACTCGAAAGCCGGTGGCAGAGGGCATGGTCCGGGAGGTTCCGGAGCGCGGAGGGCGGGCTGGAGAAGACTCGCGCTCCTTCTGGGGCGTCCTGGTCCGCTCCGCGGTGCACAAATCAGGCCTGGGGCCCACGCAGCTAATGCTGCTACCTTTCCAACCGGCGGTCTTCTAGCGCCGGCAGAGAAGTTTGCAAAGTTTACCTCAAAGTTTCCCAGTTTCCCGTGGCGTCTCTGGACTCAGGGACAGCCTCCGAGGCCCTGACAGCTCACAGGGCTCAGCCAGAGTTGCACGGCAGACGTGGCGGCGCCCAGCCGGTGCCTCCTGGGATGCTCCGAGGCCAGATTCACAGTCAAATGTGAATTCCTGCCGGTGCTACGCCAGGCCACGCATCTGCAAGTCCGTGTGGCTGCTAATAGCGGAGAGAGAGAATGCGAAAGCGAGAGAGGGGGAGAGAGAGAAAAGGAAAAAAATATTCTCAGCTCAATTTAAGTCTCATGGAAAGGGCTTACAACTGTAATTAAATCATTAAATTCTTGTCTACGCTTCACAGAGCGGAGAGAAATTAACTTCCCACCAACCTCATTTTCTATTTGAACATGAAATAATGATTTTCTGCCCGTCTAATTACAAAGCCAACATCTGATCAAGCCAGCATCCAGAGGGGATTATCGCATGCGCGAGTATTAGACCTCATTACCAGCTTGAGTGCAAAATTATTACATCTTGTAATTGGATGGTGAGATTTATATACAGATCGGCCCGGTTTCTGTAAGATTGTAATTACAAGCTTCGTTGGTTAGCTACTTATCAGAACTTTGCAGGAAAACAAAACAAATGACTGAGGAAAACGAGCGTTTCATTAACCT